CTCATATTTTCACAAAGTAGAGCCTCGAGCCAGTAGAATGAGGCGTAGCATTGTTGCGCCGCATCTCGACAAAAAGAACCCCGCACTACGTTGCAATACCAAACATGCCCCCACCCGAGAGGCCCAACCACAGGAAATGGCGCGACGGACGGAGCAAAAGACTCGTAAACAATGCCCTGACGCCAACTGCAAGCAATAACCTAGGCGGTTATTGTTGGCAACAAGGGAGAGAATGGAGATAACACGGTATGCTAACGCCTCCCTCTGACGCTTTCCCAGTGTCGATCACAGGCAAGTGTACTTGCATGCCAAACGTTTGACCACTTTTAACTAGCTGACTCGCAGTCCGATAGCCTCTAACTAGGCCCACTGGTGTTCCCTGCACCGCTTCACTACTGTCTAAGCGCAGCAATCCTTCCTTGCGGCAGGAAACACGCTGCAGAAGCTGTACGCGGATTTCGCAGTATCGCGATCCTCCCTACGAAATTGGCTCCTGCGGAAACATCACCAATAGTGGCGGGTGCAACTGGCCGGATTCAAAAACAGAGTTGCAGCTTGGTATATAAGTAGGAACTAGGCAAACAATTCCCATCGAACCTACTGCAGTGTTGAGGCTTGACGCTTCAAACACTCCTGGCCCAGAGGAAGGCTTGCGCATTTCTGAACAGACGAATGCGCTATATGGAATATAAATTACAAAGTATTGCGACATCGGGAAACTCAGGCACAACTAGCGCAGCAGCAAGTTGTAAGAAAAAACTGTTTTCTTCTCATTGCCAATAGGGAAATACCACCTTTTATGGGCCCTAAGACCTTAATGGTCTTTGCGCAAAGGGGCGCTCATATTTACCGTCGATACTGCCTTGTACAATGAAGTACTTCCCCACGCTCGACGTGCCGAGGTGGGATAGGACGCAGCAGAGGCTTCGACCGAAGGAAGCGCACAAATTCAAATCCTGGAACCTTCGCGCTGAGATGGAAAGTGGCTTGTTGGCATGCGTGCAACATGACACTTCATTTATTCTTGGGTTTCCATCGATGTTGCCTCCATTCAAAAGGATATCTCATTGCGACTGTTGCCACTCTGTATCATCATCGACGTAATCTGCCCATGGGCCTCTCGAGAATTGCGGCACTGCAGGCGTGCACAGGAGAAGTTGTTTCATCGCAACCACCAAATATGATGGAGGGCGTGTGCCGCATCTGTAATAATCCAAAGCCTGCCACATAAGCCGACACAAACCGACCTTTTGCTGAGCCGCGGTAGGTAGAGTAACCCGATCTGGAGCATTAGTATAAACTGGAAGTCTGTCGATGACTTGTTGCCACCATTCGGAGCGCCTGGCCTTCGCTCCTAGTACCTCGGTCGCCGCGTATATTCCATCCATCATCAGAAATGCAAACCCCAATTTCTCCGCAACATATCTAGGTGGCAAACCATCGAGGTTCTCTATCGCACAGTGCTCAGCATAATCGACTAGAGTCTCCAGGTCTTGCATGAGACGCCTGAGGTCGCCCGAGTCCACCACAGGTTTCTTGAGAATTCTGGAAATCCTCCACATTGCTCTGGTTTGGCCTAGCGACCTACGGCGAGTATTCGACGAAGATACGCGCACAATCTCTCTCACCCAAGCATCAGGTGCACGGCTTGGGAGCCTGAAAAAGGGATGCGTTCCGATGTCCACTTTGGACGCATTCCCCTCTTG